CCCCCCCCCCCCCCCCCCCGTCCCGTATCGCGGATATTTACGCCGCTACGTTAATTTGGCGCCGCGCGCTGGTTTCATGAATAGAAATCAAATCATTAACATAGATTATATTCCCGTCGGCTTCTAAGTCGCTTCAATGTAACGCGAGCCTCTAGTGAGGGGCTCGCGACGCCGTGATTCACTTTGTTTGGGGCGCGAAGTTCAGCATCTCAAATGAACGACTGTCCGAGCGAGAACCGCGAGTCCCTGATATCATTCTCGCGAAAGGCCTGAGTGAAACACCGGCGAGAAAGGTGAGAAGAACTCCCGAAGCCGCGTTACCTGTCGTCGTCACGCCGAATCTCGCCAGAGCTTGACCCTCCCTACACCAGACCCTGAGCATACACTTGAGCAGCTCCTCCAGAGCCCGCTTCAATGTCGCGTCCTTGTCCATTTCCGTCGCACACTCGGAACCCGCGGAGTCGCACACCATCGTCGCTCGCCGATCGATCGCAGCCCGCGAACTCGAAGTAATTAAAACTCGTTAGGCCGCGAGTTAACTGTCGCTCCTCCACTTGCGCGCGGTGCCGAAGCGGGAGGGAGAGAGAGAGAGAGAGAGAGACACCTCTTCTCCGCGGCTATCGCACCCTCCGGAAGACGCGCTCGCCGTCGCGTTCGCGGCTTAACTCCGCGGGTGTACACAGGAAACGGTGAATCCACGAAAGACGACGCTTCGAGCCGGCAGCCTCGTGGAATGCGACTCCGGCGCCCTGACCCACTGACTGCCGGCCAAAAGCTACTTCTTCGAGTCAGCACCCCGCCTCATCCCCCGCCTCCCTCGCGGCGGGTCGCGCTTCTCCGCGTCGACTTCGCGCGGGCACAAATCACTCCTTCCCGCCGTCTTCCTGCTCTCGCCGCCGAACGAGCCGAGCATGAACGTTTCTCGCTCTTCGGCCGCTCTCGCCGGCTGGATTATATTTAGACGACGGAGTATTACGCGGTGCTTATTTAAAGAATCGGGAAGAACGCCACTCTCTCTCTCTCTCTCTCTCTCTCTCTCTCTTTCTCCTCCCTCTGTGTGTCGATTTTTCTTCTTCTCTCTTTCTATCGCTTGCGTGTCTTTTTTCGCACGTTATCGCGACCTAATTCTTTTCCATCCTCCTCTCCCCCCTCCCTCCCCACCAGCGCGTTCTCAATCCCTCTTCTCGCGCGTCTCCTCGTAATTTGGATATTCTCGAGTCCTCTCGCTCACTTTTAACAGATCGCCCGTCACGCGCGATCGTCGCGAATTCAATTCACCCTGATTATTCCGGAGAATTCTTCTTCGGAAAAAATATTCCAGTCGAGTTTGTTATCTGCGAATCGTCCCTCGAGAGATTCACGTCGGAGAATGATGGAGCCGATCTTACTCATCCGTCTATCTATTTATCTTCCTTGTCTCGTGTCATTTTTGTCCCCTCTTTTTCCTCGATCTCTTTTCCCGACTCTCTCTTTTCTTCTCTCGCTCTTTCTCCTTTTATCTCGCCCTCGTTACCTCGCTACTTAACTTGCCCCTCTCGCCGGCGGATTTATCGCAGGATGCCTTTGCGAGACAGTTTAAGAACATTCTTCGGCGATGCGCGAATCGACGTTGCGAAGCGGCTCCGTGCACGTTGCGACCGGACGATCTTACGGCATGGAGACCGAATTTCGGAATGCGGCCCGCGCGAACTTCTCACACGAAGCGCCGAGAAAACAGCGCGCGCCCACGCAGTCACGATTGACTATCACGATAATACAGCAGGCGCTAACAGATCTGTTTCCGGAAGATGGACACGCGAGGAAAATAGCCCACAAGGTAGCTTTTAATTATAACCACCGGGCATGTGTGCGATCGGTCGTAAGAGTAGAAAGAGAAAAACACGCGAAAATGGAAAATCCCACGACAGAACATAACACGATAGAATTACTGGGTTGATATCAAAATTTCTTCCGTTCATTAGTAAAAAAAAAACATATGTGTACATATATATGTGTTTGTGTGTATATAATAAGTATATATAAATAAATATATATGTATAAATATATACACACAAGATGTCCCAAAAGTGCACGATAGGTGTTTTAAATAATAATAAATTCTTCGTAATATTCTGAGACGAAAGTTCTAATACGAAAATGTCGAGGGAGGTCGTTATTTACGGTAATTTTTAATCTTTAACATATTTTTGTAGTTAGGTCTCAAATTAAAACTCTGTCAATTTAAAAATCATTTGACATTAATTAAAGAAAATAATTTTGTTGTCCATTTGGCCGCCCGAGGCTTAATTCGCGAAAAGCTCCATTTTTTCAATCGCTTGAATCTCGGAAACTATTGACGTCTCGATATTTACGTACCCGAATTTTCGTTTTAGAATGTTACAAAGAATTTATTATTAGAATATTTATCGCGTGAACTTTGGGACATCCTGCATAACATTTATTTTTATTTCATAACACGATTAAATACGCGCTGATTTGTTCGATGATCCGCTATCTTTCCGACAGCTGCATGATTTTCGTCGAAGTTCTAAGATTTCTGAGCAAAGAGCTTTCTCATCAGCTCGACACTTAACGTTCACATTTGAGAAAACAATCGAGATTTTTCGAAACCCGCCGAAAAGGTAAAAATAGCGTGGCTTGACTCACCGAAACATTTGGTTTGTATTCTCTTGTACATCTCGCCGCTGCTTTTTCGGTGCACCATCCTATGCGTGGCCGCCTGGTATCTCTTCTTAAAATTCTTCTCGCTCTCCGTGGATTCTTGAGAGTCCCGTCGGTCTTTAAGGCCACCTTCCGTGATATCATCGTCACCGCCCATGCTATCGGGTCTTTTCCACACGTGACTCTCCTCGAGATCGCCGATGTAAATCCATTCGCTGCTCGTATACGGCTCCACGTAAGTGTCCTCGTCTTCCCTCCCTGTCGTCGAGAAGAAATCGACAGAGAGATACGTTATCGGTTATCGGAATGTGATCGATGACGCTGCTTAATAGTCGCAGTTCGGCAAACCGACCCGTGAGAATCTCCATGCTGGCATCGGTGCTTCGAGCCTGCAGTCTCTTCCTGCCGCTGGCGGTGTCGTCGATCGAACCTCTGCTTCCCGACCGGGAGGTGGTTCTCTCCTCCGATTTAGCCCGGATGTCCGATCTGCCGGCGCTGCTGCGACGGTGCCTCCTGTCGCCGCGGTCTTCCGATCTGTACCTCTTGTCGAACTTCTTGTACAACCGGTGGCCCGAGACGTGCTTGGAGGACGTCCTGTGTCCCTCCGGGGAGTCCGCGAAACCTGCCGGTGGTCGAACGATCTCTTCCGACACCTCGGGATGAAGCAACAGGAGGGCACACACGATAGAGAAAGGAGGCAGACAGACGGACAGATAAGTAGATACGATAGAGAGACGCTACTTTTTGCATTCATACCGATCACCCTGAGATCTCTCTCTCTCTCTCTCTCTCTTTCTAATATTCCTTTCGCGATAAGAAGCAGAATATGCGGAGTATACACGGGAAAAACAATTCCGTTGATGCAACTGAATTGTCCGGGGATCAAATGAAAAGTCGGTTGTAGGAACGGAAAATCTCTTGCAGGAGCTCAGTCATTGCTCCCAACCGAGTTTGAAAACAATTGAATATTCACATGAATGTTCCGCGGTACCAGAGACATTATTTCTTGTCTCGCCAAGTTTTCATCCAGTCCCTATTCAGTTGCTGGAACTCAGATCTTTTTCTCCGTGTAATCTCTCTCTCTCTCTCTCTCATTCGCACAACTCGTGTCAGTGTGCCAAGCAAACGGAAAGAGTTAGCAGTGGTCGCACGCGCGACCGATGCTGATAGAAAGTGAGCTACGAGAGAAGTGAAGTGCGATCGTCGAATCGCCAAGTAGCACAGAGGTCTATTTAGAGAGAAAAATAATTGTACTGCTACTATAAATATATACTCTTTGAAGGACCGGCGAGACCGAGAGAATCACGCTCGAGCGACAGTTCTGCGATTGCGAGTGAATTTGTACAGAGAGGAGATCGCAGAATCATTAGAGAGACGTTCGATCTAGCAGATACATACTCGACATACTCGCTTAGCGTCTAATGAGGTCTAATCGAGAGCTAGCACGGGGATGCAGAGAAGTTCGCGAGTGCGCAAATGCTACGCTAATGCGGCGTTTAAAAGCGGCCGCAGCTAAGGAGAACCACGTCGACTAACGGAAGAAGTTCTAAGTAAATTGTGGTATAAATGCCAGCAGAGACTCAGGCCGACTCTTTGCGCGCGGTGTGCCCTCTCCTTCGTGCCGTGTCGTCGTGGAGGAAACTCGAAATTATTCTTGTAACGTGTTATTAATGCCGCGTCGGTCAAAGGCTCGGCCGAAAGCATCCAAGCGGCACGAATACATTCCCTTTCGGAGACAGCAAGGAGAGGAAACGGCACCGTCGCCGGGGGAGGAGCCTCTCGCAGACGCGCGAGCGAAAGAGTTCAAGAGCGAGAGACGAATGAATAACGCACGATAAGCGATATATCACCTCTCTGCCGCAATGGTGGCAGTGCGCGGCGTCCAGTGGGGCGACAGCGACGCAAGGCTGATCGGCGCTCTCGCTGTAGAACACGCTGTCGCTGCCCGGACTGACGGACCTCAAGGACTCCGCCGACAGGGCCTTCAGTCTCACCTCCGGGCTCTGCGCCTCCATGACGATCGCTCGTTGACCGTTGTGCCCGGGACTGCGCTGGTAACGGCCGGGGCTCAGCCGGCTGGAGCACACGATGTCGTCCGCGACGCGGGACCTCCTTCGCGGCAGGCTGCCGGTTATCGCCGCGTTCTTGTCCTGCACACGATCACCGGATATCGAGCGAATGGTCTTGGGAAAAGAGAAGAAGAAGAGGGGGAGAATATCGTTCTCGAGCTGCGATCCTCCTCCGCTCACCTCGTTGCTGCGCCTCCTGGTGGAGATGTAGCCGGCGGTCTTCCTCCGCGGGCTCTCCCTGGTACGACGATGCCTCTCCGCGCCTTCCCGATGCATGTGATGATGGTGATGATGATGCATGTGGTAATGATGACTGCAGCTGGAATCGTCGGACGTCGGCGCGTGCGGACCGTCCTCGGCCTGCTCCACCCTCCACTCCTCCTTCTGAGGGCTGCGGCTGAGCGCTTGTTGCTGCGCCGGCTGTTGCGCCGCGGCCTCTCGCTTCCTGTTGTTCCGGTGAGGGCTCCGCGTCGACGCCGGCTTGCTCCTCGATCGGTGCCGGTGGCTCGGTGTCGGGCTGACCTCCACGTTCTCGGGATACGCCGGCTCGACGCTGTGCTCCGTCTCGACGTTGTTCCCGAGGAAGTCCAGGCTGAAGGTCTTCTTCTTGCGACGGCGCTCCTCCTCGCTCCACACGCGAACGTCGGGCGGCGACTCGGCGTAACCCCCGGACGACGATCGGTGGCCCTCCTGCGAACATCGTCGCGATTAGCCGGGCTAACCTTCTCCCGAGCCGCAGGTGGACACTCACGTCTCGATCTAACTCGGTCTCCGAGGTGTGTCCGCTGCGCGGAGCGGCCTGCTCCAAATCGTGGTTGTGATCAGCCATCGCGTCCTTGAGGTCGTAGCTGCCCGAGCTGCTGCTGCTGCTGGACCTCATCGCCGACGGAGGTATCTCCAGCCCGAACGCGATCTCCGCTTCTTCCAAGATCGGCGGCGGGCTGCACGGCTCCTCGACGACGGCCTGTGAAGTTTGGAGAAGCGCAAGCTCGCGAATCGCGTTCGAACGATCGCGAGGAAGGAACGAGCCTCACCTCGCTTCTCGCCAAGCTGTAGATCGAGCTGGCACTTTCGAAGGAGCTGCCTTCCGCGGCGGTCGCGGTGGTCGAGGCGGGCGCCGATGCCGCGGCGCTGGACGTCTGCGGTGGTCTCGACCAGGAGCTGGTCGTCGCGGACGTACCTGTGGTGGTCCCGGTTTCCGTAGAAGTGTTGGCAGTGACGTAATCCTCGGAGGTCTCGGAGAGATCGGTGTTGGTGCGGCCGCCCGAGTCGGTCCTCGCCAGGCTCAAGCCGAACTCACTCGACGACTGCGACTGGGGCTGAGACAGCGGCGGAGCCGGACTCGCGCGGCGCAGTCCGCTCCTCGGGCGGCCGTTGCTCGCGGAAATGGACGATTCGATGCTGAGGAGGAAAGACACGGAGGGTTTAGTCGCGATATCGTGCCGGCGGAAGGGTGGTCAGGCAACTCCAATACTGGCGGGGGACAAGCGTTGCGTACTTTAGTTGTGATCACCGAGGAAGCGACTGTGTGTGTAGGCCGACAGCGGGTAAATGTTATGTGGGGAGGAACGCAATGATTATCAAAGTATTTATATTTACAACCTTGAATTGTAGCGTGTTACGCGTGTGTGGACGGGATCCTGAGCGAACATCGTCCAGCGTTAACCTTTATCCCGAGATACTCCTTCGCGATGCATATTATTGTCGAGGAATATACGCGTGGAATTAATTTCGTATTACCGCTCTATTCGCATTGACGATTCGTGCTCTGTTCAATATTACGCTCGATTTTATCAACTCTGCAGGAACATGTCCGCTCAGAGTACGCCGACTCCGTGTGTGTAGTAAAATCAAGCACTTCCGGGTACCGTGAGGATGATTCGTCAAACGATACTCAAGAAGCTTGGGGGGGAGGGCTACTATGAAATCGGGTCAGAATGCGTTATTGCCTTACATATCGTACGCGTAAAAACGTGCTGTTGCGGATACATCATTGTAGTAAATTTGTTGAAACTCGGGCGGTAACAGATCTTGTATTCTGTATGCGCGTCTGCAAAAAGTGTCTTCTGTAAATCAAGGGACGCGCAACAGCGCCGAGAGAGAGAGGGAGAGAGGAGAATCTCTCGCAATCGCTAAGCTGTAGCTCGGTAACGCCGACAATCACGAGACTCTCTTCCGTAATCGATCGGCCGAGAACGGATCAAAAGTACCGCGGTCTCTCATCGATTTTCAACTTAACGACATTCCTTTCGCAACGCGACCGTATCTCTCCCAGAAACGCTTTCATTGTCGAGGCATTCGTCGCATCTCTTACCTCGGTGTGAAGGGCTGCACCGGAGTGGCAGGCTCCAGGCGTATTCGCGGACTCGGCGGGCAGGGCTCCACCTCGTCCTCCACGTCCAACGCCTCGGTATCCATCGAGGAGCGTTGCTGATGTTGCAGCAACAGCAGATGCCTCCTCCTCGAGGACGGCGTTAACAAGGCCAACGAGTCGGCCTGGAGTACCGTCGCCTGCGACTCGTTCCAAATCCCGTCGCTGTGGTCCCTCGTCACGTCGTTCGTCAGAGAATCGCTCGATGCGAACGGAGATGTCACCTGGCCGATGATGCTGGTACCGGCGCTGAACCCGGGTGGTGCGAACGTGGTGTGCAGCAGCGCGCCGCTCGGCAGCGAGTCGTCCTTCGGACTCTGCGAGATCCTGCGTGGTGCTGCAACAAGGTGTCGACGGTGTCGTTAGACACTCTCTCCTGCTCTGCGAACTTAATAATGCACTGGGTGACGCACCTGCCGCCGCGGTCGGCGACGTGGGTGAAGTTGGAAGCGACCTGGGCAGCATAAAGTCGTCCGACGATAGACCCTGCACGCCGTCCTCCAGAGACACGCTTCTCTTCCGAAAGAGACCGCGACGTATCAGATTCTCGTGGAACTCCTGCGGAGACGCGTCGTCGTGCAATTTCATTCGTCGCGTTTCAAAGTCGTGAGAATCGCAATGAAAGGTATCGCTCGGCGGACTTCTCACCTCTTCGTGATGATCCTCATGGGGCGAGGCGATTCGTAGCAAGGACAGATCCTCGGGTGTCGAGGAAAATTGGACGGGTGCTCTGACAGTCCTGCCCCAAGGATCTTGGTGATTCCTTCTGCAGGTGTGAGGGTAACTCGGCTCGCCGGTCTCCCCGATGAGTTCGCGTCTCTCGACGCGGATTTCGCCGTCGGAGAACGTCTTCTGGAGAGGCAGCAGCCTGCGGGTGGGCTCGGAAATCCGGCTGAGGAGCGCCCGTGCATCCGGCGACACTGGAGCCGGCTTGAAATTTATGAAGATCTCCTGGTCGTCTATATCAAGAGATTTACGATGCTCCAGAGGCTGAAACGGGAACAAAATATACGAGCTGTATCCTGGCGTTTATATCCATCTGTTGAGAAAACCGTGGAAGGATTCGTCTGCTATTTATCGCGCGAGAAAATCGCCGTTGAAAACGTACGGGCGTGTGTGTTCGCGCGATAATCTTTATCTTACTCGGCGAATCGCGAGTCAATCGCTCAAACATCGACGGGAAAAATGTTGCGGTAAAAATGATTACAAACATTCGCAACGGTGGATCATACTGGAATTATTATCGAAATTGTCGTGTGTGTGTTATGATTTTTAGCGTGATATCACTAAAGATTATGACACACGTCGTAATTTCAGTCGTAATTTCGGTGTGATACGGTGTTGCAAAATTTGGTGGTAATTTTTACTACGATAAAAAGAGAATTCCGTGCGATACCGCGATTTTTTGCAGCTTACCCCACCCGACGAGTTAAGTATATGGAAATATACAAGGGTTGCCGTGACGTGATACTTACAACAACGTCGGAAGGAATCACGATATCCCCATTTGGCAATGTTTCAACGATAACGTTGGTGGTGTTGATGGTGACGACGGTGGAAGGAAACGGCGGCGGTGGTGTCGTCGAAACAAGGAAGGGCGACCTCGGCGGCTCCTCACTTTGGGTTCTATGGAGTGGCTCGTGCTCGGCTTCCTCTTTAGTCGGCGCGCCAACTTGACCGCCGCCGAGCGGCGTTCCTAATTGTCCGGCTTCCGAGTAACTTTTGGTCAATTTTCTGCCATTGAACACGCCATTCGTCTGCGCGCCCTGCGAGACCATTTTCACACGATGAATGGTTCTGGGGCTGAGTGTCACCGGAAGCACACGGCCGCGAAACATCGCCGGGATCTCAGTCTGCGTCGCCTGCGTCTTCATCGCGCCGCGCTTAGGCGGTTTCTCTGGAACGAATAGATCGCTAAAAGTCGCTTGGACCGCGCGAACCCGGATCCGCAAGGATTCGCCGATGGCAAATGAAAGGTGCACAGAGAGTGGGATTTCTTTGAATTTGATGCAATTTCCTCGATTGAAACAAATCTGTCCCTTGGAATGGAGCAAACGAATGTTTGATTCATCAAACAGAATTTCTCAAACGAAAAATATCTTTACGTCAAATAACATACATCTTTTATATTTTCTTCCGAACATATTACAATGGTTGTCACAAACAATGAATTATTTAAAATAAATAACGCTACGTTAGAAAAATATTAAAGAGTTTTTTTTTACTTCAGTGGAACAATATTTAACATGTAATGCGATAAATTGCTTATCATTGGAAACCAAATATTATTTCCTCCAAATAGTACTGTTTGTTCTATCAAATGACATGGTTTATTTTAATGAAACAATAGCATTTTCATTCAAAACAAAATGATACTTGATATTATGTTATTATTATGATATTATGATTGATATTACGTTCATTAGATTGTGTTGCTTATATTAAACAAGCCCAAGTCAAACATGTGTACTAAATGTGAAGAAACCTTTTCTCTGTGCAGGAGAGAAAAATTCGAGAGAAGCTGATTAAACTTATTTTTCGGTCAGCGGTCTCGACTCTCTCGTTTAACGTTGATCGACGTTGATTTGCCAACAGAGACATTTATATTAAATCGTCTCTCCCAGACGACGATTCCCAATTTCGCGAGCGTTACGGTTTATCTTAAGCGGCGAGAGAGCTACGCCGGCGGTGAGCTGGCCGCGAGTAAATAGCTCTAACTACTTTCGCCACTTAATTTGTGATACTTGGCTTAGGATCAAAACCGAGCGAGACGAGTTTGATCGCTCATACGCGGCACATCGCGCGGTTATACGGCGCGAAAAATCTTTTACGTTGAATTACCGCGCATATAAAATTAACAATTTACCGTCTATTTATCGTGCAAGCCGAGTGCGTAAACAAAGCGGATATCCGTTTTCTCTCTCTCTCTCTCTCTCCCAGTCTCTCTTTCTCAAAAAGACCGTTACGAAACAGTATAGCACATCGGGCGGCACTAAGGACTATTTATAGATCGCGTACGTCTTTAAAGAGAGAGAGAGAGGTATATTTATAGTCTGTGTGAAATTTTTCGACGTTGCGGCACGCGGTTGAAACGAGAGAGATTCGCGCTCACACACGCACACACACTCACCGAGCACAAGAACGCGTGGCTCGACGCCAGGGTAAGGATGCACCAAGGGCAAGGACGAAGGCAGTATAGCGTTCTGCATTGTCGGCTGCGAGTCTATAAGACGTTCCGGAGGACTTCGGCTCCTCGGGACTTCGAACGACGTGAGCGTGTGGGACCTCGCGAAGCTCACGTGTTTCGTCTTCGGCGGCTGCGTCGCCGTGGTCATCGCACTGGGTGGAGGAGGCACGGCCGGTAGCACCGGCCGCGGTCCCTCCAGCTTCATGGACTCCTCATCCTCCGGCACCCAGGTGTATCTTCATCAAATCAGAGAATTACACGTCGTCGACCAGCAGTCGACAGAGAAAAGGTGCGAGATTCACCGTCGCGATTGTTTCGCGCTATACGTGAAAATGATGAGATCGATCGCGACTCGTCGATTAATATTAGAAGTTTCTCCGCGTGTGCACGCGCGGTATAGAGAGAAACGTTCTTCTATAAATAAATAAATTCCTCTCATTCTCCCCCGGTGTAAAAATACACTGCGAGTTATCCGTGGAGAAGGAAAGGCGGATCACGCGTATACACGCACACGAGCTTTTTTCTCCTCCTCCTCCTCCTCCTCCTCGACATAATGAAAATGAGGCGAATTAAACGGGAGAGGCGAGCGCGCGCGCGTCGTCGGGGAGATTGTCACGTCCACAGGCATTGTACTAAATGCGGCCCGATTACACGTGTTACGGGCTATTATCGCAGGAAGCGAAATGACAGCGTGTCATTCTATCGGCGAACAGATGACCTTATTAGAGATCGCGCATATTAAACGTCGATTTTTCGAGTAAGCCGGCGTGTCGTTGCGCAGCCCGTAAGATTGGTCGCGGAACAATCGCGTGGGGAGCGCAAAGCGGTTTCCGGATGGGAAAAAGGAAGTGAACGAGTTTAAAGAGCGGGGGATCGTTAGCACGAGTCGCCTATCTGCTCGTGATATCGCGCCGAGAATCTATATCGGTTATACATATATACATCCCGGCAACTATCCCCTACATACTCGCGCAGCGATTTTCCGCACAAACATAATTTTTTAATCGATCCCCTTCCGTTGACCTTAAAAAGCTGATAAAAGGGGCGGCGCAGCACTCATGCTAATCAGAAATAAACCCAACCCCGGAGGCGCGCACGCTATCCTTCGAGGAGAGAGACGCCGCGAGGCAGGTTTTGCACGTAACAGCCGATGGAGCTCAGCCGTGCGCTGTATAAATATCGTTTTTATAAGGTCTATCTAAAACCATAGCGACACGTCGCCCGCTCGCGATTCAATGGAGGTATGGAAGTTCCCAGATACGACCCTCCTCGACAAGCCCAAGGTGTGTGTGTGTGTGTGTGTGTGTACATCAAAAGTCGCGCACGCCTTCCGCTTGTCGTCTCACGGATCCACCGGCGATGAGAATCGAACTGACCGTTTCGGGCGCGCCCGAGTTGCGAGAAATTGCCGCGAATTCTTCGCGAATTTTTCAGCCCGCCAGGAACAAAGAAAGGAAGGAGAGTGCAGCGTCGCATTCGAACTCGTCTTGACGCGCCTCTCGCTCCCCGTTTACATTACTCGCCGTTGCGGCAGCCGACACGCCTCTCGATCAATTACGTTACCGGAGTCCTCGTCGATAAATCGATCAGCGGCTGCATTCGAAACGCGTCCCTTCGGAGTAATTTGCCCCCAAATATCCGAAGCTCTCAGCCTACCGAATAGCCGCGGAGGGGGGAGGGGGTAACGTGTCGCCCTTCGCAGGTGTCCGCGCGTGTACGCGAGCTTGTCCGCGGGCGATCGTTCTGCCGTTCTTGCGACAGCTCACTGTGAGAGCCACAATTTTACCGAAGATTAACAGAGCAGGGGAAAAAGTCACACTCGTCCTAACGTCATCATAAATTCACGCGCGTACACACACAGTAAAAGACACTTTGTACTCGCGTTAAAATCGGTCTTTGTTGATATTTTTCTGTCAAACTTTCAACATACCTGTGCGTCAGTTTAACATATCGTGTTTATGTTACTTCAATATATTTTGCGTCGAGTCGATATTCACATGTAAACGTTAAAATAACACAATTTATACTTCGGTGTTGATCTAACCTGTTAATTTTTCACATAATATTTGCATTACTTTTCGACGTATTCGTCCCGTTAATTAAGACGAAAAGAGTGCGGCCAATCGTCTATGGTCCCTAAATCCATTCAATGAAATAGATGCGTTGAAATGAATATCAAATTAATCTTGATAAGTTGAAGACAAATATATAGATTAGAAATTGATCCGGTTTTTCGTTCCGAAAATACAGGATGTCAAATGTTCCAAAGTTCGAATAGTTTTGATTTTTTTTAATATAAAAATCCTGGAGTTTTAACACGTATGAAGGCGCATTGAGAAGCTTATGTCCCCTGGTTTCCGGTAAAAAAAAAAAATCGATAAAAAGATTGAAAAAGTGTTCCAATTGAATTTCCGGTACTTCCGGAATGAAGAGAGCCCGGAATTAGAGTTTGGAGCTTTTGAGACCCTGTATTTCCGCAACGAAAGACCGGATCAACTTTTAACCTATATATTTGTTTTCAGCTCATCGAGATCTTTAATTTAACGCCCATTTCAACCATCCATTTCATCGAATAGATTTGGGAATATTTTGGCCGCACTCTTTGTGCAGACCGTTCGGAACAAATGAAACGTGTTAAATTTAATACAACATTTTTTACCGTGCAAGGAAAGCGCTCTCGGTCTACTGTCGTCGGACGAATTGTGCAACTCGCGATATATTCGAATATTTGCAACTGTATCAACGCAAATTCCCCCGGTGGAATTCTCAATGAGCCCGAGGCTCGCGATTCGGATTCCGCGCGTAAGATCCGTCGAAGGAGGGTATCAAGAGAACGAGCGAGCGAGACAGAGAGAGAGAGAGAGAGAGAGATCGATCCGTCGTCTCAGTTACCTCTTCGGATCGGGCACGGTGCAAAACTTGGGGCGCGGCCTAAAGTAGGAACTGTCGATCCAATCCGCCTCGTCCTCGAAGACGTAGCCGCGCGGTTGACGGTACATGATCTGCAGGGGTCTTCGGGGATAAGGCGCGTCGCACAGGTTCTCGTCGCTGGGCACGCTACGCACGCACGCCGAGAGGATGGAGTTCCTGGTGGAGCTGCACGGCGACGGGCCCCTCGTCGACAGGCAGCCGAAGAAACCGCCGCCGGACTTCTCGACGGCGTCCAACTGCCGGCTGGTGATGCAGTACTGCTCCTTGATGTCCTCGCGCGAGTACAAGGGCGTAGCACGACGATCCCAATCGACGGGCCCGCCGAAACCCCCGTGGAGGTCTACCTGCGTGGAGACGTCCACCTGTCGCAAACAGCCGGGGATTACAGCCGGTACATCTCTCTCGCGGGACGTTGGCGGACGTTGATTGACACGCGGGAATAGGAGTGGGGCCGGGGGAGCGGGAATTTCGGAAGTAATCGCCGTGGTGTGAGACTTCGCTTATTTGTAATTTGCTGACAGGCAACGACGTTTCGACAGTTGCCGCGGCGGTTGAATAATTGCGCGCTGAAGATCGAGGTCGGAGGCAGAGCTTCGCGCCGAAATGAGATTCGCGTAGTCTCGGGCGGTAATGCGCGTAGGAAAAGCGGAGGAAAAGCGATCGACAGCCGCCGGGGACGGGGTTTTCGCCGCGTCGGGAAAATTACAGCCACCCGGTCCAACGTAAGTAAAATAAATTGCTCATCTTTGCGCGACGCGAAGAAAACGGGCAGAGGAGAGCAGCTTCGGAGACCTGTGGTAATAATAATAGTAACGAATCGAAAAGTATTCGCTCGTTACGAGTAATGGAGTGTTCGCCGGTAGGAAACGAGGGAACAAAACGAGGAAGTCTGTTCTGCCGGGCGCGCGCGGGAGTATTGTCTTCCGCGGGAAGGGGGCGTTTAAAAACTGTATCGTCCTACGATCGAGTGCGGTAAACTACCTCATTCATCGAAGTTCCACAGCTATATAGGGCTCATTGTGTGCGGGCCGCGTTATCGGAAATCGTAATAGTCGCAGCATTAAACTTCTGTAATTTCCCGGACTTCATTACCGTTCCTTGCATTATTCCTTGCTAAACATGGTGTTCCGATATCTTCCTTCGCCGAGGCACCGAGTGCCGTGGCCGTTACAACCGCCTAATGATTATCACATTATATCGGTATCCGGTAAAATGAGATTCGTTGGGGAGGCCTACCCTTGTCGAACGCGGGGGGATCAACGAGTCAGGGCCGNGGGGGGGGGGGGGGCAGGAAGAACGTTTCAGCCTCTTCTCCGAGGCGCGAAATGCGTTTCTCTCGGAAGGTCTTTCCAGGAGGACTGACCTACATTCGATCGCAGGAAACGGATTTCCGAGCGCGAGCAATGTCCCCGATCCTCCGGGGATGAGGATGATTGGGATATTATTGCCCTTCTGTTGCCGGAAAGGCAGGTCCACGTTGATCCTCGAAATGTCAACGGCGGTCGCCCGGTCGAAACGTTCGCGAATAAAAACGTAGACGGTTGTCGACATTCTCCGTACACACACATTGTAAACGCGCGCACAGGAGGCGAAGATAAATAACGAATGGCGAGTGAAACGGAATATACGCGTAAAAGAGAAATATGCCCGTCTGTCCGAAAATGGTAATTAATTAGATTGCTTTAATGAGTGTGTGCGGCGAATTAGAGAATATATATATATATATATATATATATATATGTATATCAGCGCTCGAGTAAATTCGTATATTCGCGTGCTGAAGGGGACCGGCTCGAGAGTTGAGCCCTCGACAATTCATAAAATCTGGTTTCAGTGGCAGACGTGGTTAATGAACTTTAGCCACGACTGCAACTTTTTGAGATACAATTTTCGTCGCGGTATGAAGAGTACGTAAAACGAAGTTTAAAGGGGGAGTTGTTTTTAATTTTTTTTTGTACGTAACACGCGATAGTACAACACGTATGATATATATTTTATCGCGGCGCAATATCGCGTTTATAAATTACAGTAATGTTTGCGGAGCAACTGTGTTATAGTTGCGGACAACCGTAACATTACGTACGCGGCAGTCTCGCAATTCTGTCGTCTGTGCAGTGAGAAAAATAGTACTTAGAAATTTATTTGTATGATATAAAATTGATCTCAAGGAAGGTAAAATCTGTTTCTGCGAAATAAACCTTATATCTCTCCCTCCCACAAATAAACTTTCAAATACTTCGTTCTCAGTGCGCGTGTCGTGCGATGAAGCTAAATTTTAATTACCTCACCTATCGAAATGTAACGATCTCGCGACGAATTTCGAACTAGATGCGAGAACGAAACTCGAGAAGCCGCCAGGATCTTCGCGAGAACTTCGTTTACGGCGAATCTCACGCTCGTCTCCTTATTTATTTGCATCTCTCAACCCCACCTGACTTCTCGTTATTTATGCTTCATTTTCGGGACATGGACGAAAGCTTAGGAGAGGAACGAAGAAGAACCGTGCGACAGAAACGACAGCCGCCGAGCGTAGCTCGCGACCGACTTCGACGGTTCGACGTACGCGACGTCGCAACATAAACACGAGCATTGTGTAAACCCGACACCCACCTGATTCCCTCAGGCATCGTACCTGGGGATGATAGACTGGCGTCGTCCTGCCGATAGCATTGGCATCACCTCGCAACGGTGTCATGTTCGCCGAGACCGTGGGCAGATTTCTCGGATTTATGGCGATCTCAGGACCCGGATGGATCCTCCTGATGCCCGGCGGCCCTCCGGCGGGTCCTACGCTCGGCGCCTTCACCATCCTGGGCCGCACCCCGCGCAGCGACACCGTACTCGTTGGCGAAAACGCTGGCCACGCACACCAGCTGGCCTATCGATCTAGCCGCTTTTTCCCTCTCGTACGAGAGGAATGTCCTACTCTCGGCGTCCCGGGAGGTAAACCGAGAGGATCCCGCGAGACAGCCAGCGGCGGTAGTTCTCGCGGAGCTACCTCGTCGGCGCGTCTCGCGCCCGCGGTACCTTCTTCATGGTCGCATTCTCGCGCGCGCGGCACAACGTACAGCTCGGGCCGCGGCAGGATGTACGAGTATCTCTCTCTCTCTCTCTTCCTTTCGTCCGACACTCGCGCGCCTCGATCCGCGGTAATCGGTCGTCGGCAGACTCCTGGCGCGATCGCTAACGTGGCCGGAGCACCCGACAACGGCCAGCGCGACGATGACGACGACGGCCACCAACCACCGCGACGACGTTGGCAAACGCGGACACGATCGAGGCGACGCGTCTCGGTGGTCCTCGCGAGACGCGAGGGATGACGAGCCCCTGTGTGAGTCGGTGAGAGCCGACCGGGGCTTGCGCGAGCTGGTACAAGGGAGACGCGTGATAGGGAGGGTGGAAAGGGATGGGGAGAGAGAGAGAGAGAGAATCGGGTGGAGAGGAAACGCCAGGGGGATGTGGATAGAGAGGGATGAATGGAGGGAGCGTGTGAGAGAGCGTGGGTGCGATCGAGATGGGTGGATGTTGGAGAGAAAAGGGGGATGATGATGATGACGACGAGAGACGGAGAGGGTGGGGGTATTTGTAACGTTCGCCACACTCGCGCGTGTGCCCGCTTTGTAAACCAAGCGCGGCGGCACGTTCTCCTACTCGTTATCCGGCGTATTAATATCTTGATATTTAGCCGGATCGCCGTTTAATCACCCGTTGGGGTGGACGTGCTTCGTAAATAGTTTCTTTTCTCTGTTTCCCTCCCCCTCTCTCTCTCTCGATTGCCTTCGAGAGCCGGGATGAAATCCGCCGGAGGTAGTCGCGTACTGAACTTATGGAAAACCTGCCGAGTGGTGTAAGCATCGAGTCTTAGAATTCTCCTCATACAGTCGGCGGATCCGCCTCTCTTCGTCTCTCGGCGAAGACGGTTAAAGGCGACCTACTTGGCGGGGAATTGCGACCCAATTAATTAATGCCATTTGTCAATATAGCCATAACTGTGCGTTCCTCCCTATTTATTCTCTCTCACACACACACACACACACACTCTCTCTCTCTCTCTCCTGTTTATATGTGTATATATAGGGAGTCCTTTCTGCTTGTTAATCCGCAGTAGTCGCTCGAAAGACGCCGGCGGGAGGAGTTAGCCGGACGACGAGACATCCTCGGCGGTGGAACAATTAGCCGTACGATGATCAGGCTGTAATGACAACGTCGCGGAATCAAAGGTAAGGCAGGAAATGAACGCGGCAACAGTTCCGTCGCGGGCACGTGCGCATACGGGATAATGGCATTAGCTAAAGAGGCATGATAAAAAAGCGGACGCGTTAAACACGCTGGTACAACTGGCACGTCGGAGCGGTGAATGAGGGCGGCGGCGGCGGCAGCGACGGCGGCTGTAAGGGTGGAGAGAAGGGAGCAAGATAAACGGGATGACACAGTTGCAATACTGAAAAGACAAGCCGGACGCGTGCTGGCAACGGCGGAATGAAACAAATATGACGTCATTGACGGGCGCCGTCCTTAAAGCCGCGACGCCCACGTTTCACGGTGTACATGCGCGCGGAAGTACCGACGCCTACGAGCACGACGTGAGGAGAGAGAGCCTACACGAGTGACCGGCCACGTCAAGACCAGATGGAGCTCCTGCGCGCCCTTCCGTCGTCACCCTCTTTGTCGTAGGGCCGGAACTACCCTGTAAAGTTCAAGGGACACGCGTATCCCGCGTATTTTCGTCGATGCAGTCTTCAGACGATCCACGTCTTCCTTCTCTCTTCGGTATCTCGTTATATCTTTTTTTTTCTCTCTTTATACACGCGAGGTAGCGTCTTGACGTACCGCGCGGGCTGAGTGACCACTGCACCTAGCGAAAGGTGAAACCAAGCTACCCCGTGGCGTTTACGCTCAGCGGTATTCAACAAAAGGCTTGAAGACCGTTGTTTGGACTACAGTACGGGGCAAGTATTCGACGAACGATAATCTAGTTCAGATAAAAGAAAAAGAATTAAGAAAGTGACAATGTGTCTCAATACAATAACATAGTGATCTTATGCAATAATACAGTAATCTTATGCAATACAAATTAAATTGTATATAATACATTAACTTAACGTTCAATAGTATATATTGCTTAACAGTTATTCCATCGTATCAGACTGTTATATTATATTAGATTGTATTAAATTGCATTTTCTTTCTATTATCTTGTATTGCGTTATATTAGAATGTATTCAATTTTATTATAAAGAATACTTTAGATTAAAATGCATTAAATTATGTTAGACTGATATTTCTAGTATGTCGTTATTTAACAAATAATCAGCTCCATTCATCTTGATAATATATGTTTATTTCATAAAAAACAAATATAGATGTAAAACATTAAATAATTGTTTATTAATATAAATTTATGAGCACAAGCGTGGCATGGTAAACAGCACACCGGTCTGCCACGCTTTAAAGGTCCGGGTTCGATTCCTGGTAGAACCAGAAAAATTTTTCATACGCTCTCGTAACTCCTTTTCGGTGGTCTGGCAAACCACCAAAGAGTATCCATGCCACGAGAACTTCTATCCAAAAATGTGCCGTTCGGAACTGGCGTTTAAACTGTAGGTCCCGTATGCATGTATATAATCTGCGTGCACACCACATGCATACGTGAGAGAGAGAGAGAGAGAGAGGTAGGCCTAGGCCCGACTCTGGGCTGTGGCACCATTGAAAAAAAAAATATATATATATATATAAATTTATAACTGTATTTTCAATTATGCGGACATGACAAATAATTTACAATTATAAATGCCGGCTTTAGGTTATATTATATATATTTGTGTTTATTCAACATATTATATTATTTTGTATCGTACATGTCGTACATATTATATTGTATATATTATCGTATATATTATATTTATCATATTGCATTGTATTTTATAATATTGTACTGTATTGTATAAAGATATAAATAAAAGTAAAAGTAGATTTGAATCGTAGTTGAATTTTTTTATTTATACCACCTCTTCAGTTATTATGATGCTCCTAATATCAAAATTCGAAAATTCAAATTTCCCGTCTGAAATTCATTACATCTCTTTGCACATTATATTTTCCTGATACCAAAAAGCGAAAATCAAAGCAACTGAGAGAAAATTTCGCAAATTTTCAACTTCCGGCCGGAAATTTGTGCTACCTTTTTGAATATTCTCTTATATTCTCTTAATATCAGGATTTACGGATGTAATATCAAAACATGAAAATGAGAAAAATCCAAAATTCAGAGCCAAGATTTTGGATAAATTTGTATCAGGAGAATATAATGAGCAAGGAAGTGGCACAACTTGAGATTCCGATGACCTCTTCACTCATTATGTTCCCCTGATACTCGAAATTGAAAATTCAAAAAGTTAGGAATGAAAAATTCTCCAATTGCGTGAATTTTATTAGGAAAAATATAATGAGCAAGGAGGTGGCGCAAAAGTTATGAATATCTTTTCTCAATTTTCTTAAAAGAAGCTTATTTAAACTAAGGATATAAATCAAATGATAAGTCTAGTAATAAAGATTTATAAATAGATTATACATAAGTATGTAATAAAGATTTATTCGTTTTTATACAATCATTTTCTGTACATAAAAATATTACAATCTAATGCAAAGTATTTATATTTTTTTTTATCTTAATATTAAATATGTATATTATACACACATATACATATATACACAGAATATCAAGTGTAAAAAATATAATAATATATATGTGATATAATACAACGTATATATATATATATAACACATTTATATAATATAACATGAAGTTTATAAAACGTACATATATTATGTAATAATACAAGTAACTTGTAAAGAGAAATACAATACTCTAATATGTCATTCACGTGTTCGCTGCATATGAGTTATTTAGATCTTTCGACACCGACTTGTGGCAATGTTGTTTTAAAAATTGATGAAAGTCAATTAAAGATACTTAAGTAAAGCAGCGTAATGTAGACCGTAGTTCTTCAGCAGCTGCAGAGAGGTCGCGTGTATGATAACTGCATACCTGAAACATCAAAGCAGATCTCATAAGTACCGACCGGTTCCCGGGTATTATAAAATCATTTCGTTTTATAACCTTAATTATAACATGTATATTAAAGAAAAAAAATGTCTCTTAAATATTATTTCATAATCATAACAGGTAAATTATAATCTACTTTATAAGTAATTGCTAACTAATAACTGGATACATGAGTTACTATTTTGCATTGCAAAATATAAATTTATAAGAGAATGGGCGGTTAATATATTTTATAAGAGAAGATATTAATATGTTATAATATTCTAGATGTTTATAATTATAATATTTATTATAATATTCTAAATATAAGATTTTGAAAAAAACTTATTCCAATGTATTCTATTTTATATAAGACATTTCGCGCAAGCACATATAATAAATCGTATGACGAATTCCTGCGGCAACAAATATTACAGTCGTCATCTCCGTTGCACGGGAAAAGAAAAAGTCCGGGACGAAGCGCTATTTTCTTTTTCCATCCCTTTTTAACGAGACCCCGATGAAGCTATGAATCGTACTCGTGACTTCACACCCTGTAGAACTGAACTGGACTCGAATGTGTGCGGCAGACCACGCAAATAAACACGCGCGAATTTATAGAACGGGAAAGCACGTACGCGGCGTGGGTCATTCCTTTTTACCGAACCTGATGGTTGCGCTCACCGTCGAATAGTCACCAAGCGGACTTCGCTGATGCAGAGCGTATAACCGCGAGATATTTTCTCCCTTATTTTCTTTTTTCTGTTTTCGCAAATCAACGGAGATACGAGCGAAAATGTTCATCCATAAGTAACTAAATCAACGTACGGAGTTATCTGTAAATCGTGGCAAGGTTCTCGTTTATTTATTATTGGCGTGAAATATGCGCGCTGCGTTCAACCGTTACCTGAAACTCCGCGAGTTCCTCTCATAACGGATCCCGTTTTCCACATACTACACGGAGAGCAGCGAGATGAAGAAACGGCGAGACGAGAAGTGGAACGATCGAGTGACACTGAACGTGGGTGGTATTCGACACGAGACGTACAAAGCAACGCTGAAGAAGATCCCGGCGACGAGACTGTCGCGATTAACGGAAGCTCTGGTGAATTACGATCCGATTCTTAATGAATATTTCTACGACCGGCATCCGGGCGTCTTCGCGCAGGTGCTCAATTACTATCGCACGGGGAAGCTGCATTATCCCGCGGACGTGTGCGGTCCGCTCTTCGAGCAGGAACTGGAATTCTGGGGATTGGACACGAATCAGGTCGGTCTCGTATCCTCGCATTCCCTCGAATAAACATGCATTCGCGTACTTCACGCTCCTCTTCCCCACATTCATTCCCCTAGCATTCACTCCCGATTATTTCCAGCTCTCGCCGTTTTCTTTCTTTTCTTCTGCTTTTAACGCTCTACTGTACTCCACGTGGAAATGGACTCGACATAATTCACCGGTTTAGTGCACAGGTCGATCGTATCGCCCGTGAAGTTTCTTTAATAGTTCCTTAATTAAGTTGACTTACCGCAGGTAGAGCCGTGCTGTTGGAGCACGTACAGCGTCCACCGAGACACGCAAGCCACCTTGGCAATCCTCGATAAGCTCGACGTCGAGGGCGAGAGGCTCAGCGACGAGGAAATTGCGCGGGTGTTCGGCTTTGAGGAGGAGTACCACGGCGGCGTCTTAACGAGATGGCAAAGGTTACGATCTCGCGTCTGGATCCTCTTCGATGAGCCGTACTCGTCGTTGACGGCCAAGTGCATAGCTTGCGTGTCGGTCCTCTTCACCTGCCTGTCGGTTCTCTGCTTCTGCGTGAAGAGTTACGCGGAACCGCCGGGGATTAAGCACGAGGAGGAATCGTCGGAGGACCGCTCGAATAATACCGGAAACGTCGATCCTCATCGAGCATTCTTCTATTTGGAACACGCCTGTAACGCCTGGTTCACCGTGGAAATCGTGCTCCGCTGTCTCGTATGGCTCATCTTGGCTCATCTTCTTCTCGACATTTTAAATACCATTCGAGTTTTATCCGCCACGAAACGACCGATTACCTGACGCTAAAATATTCTTGCAATGAACAATTCGTGCACAGAGGAAAAGATTACTTCGGATTTAATCAAGTTTCTTCGAGTGAAGCAAATTTGTCCGTTGGAATAGAGCAAACAAATAAATGTTTGATTCGATAAACCGGATCGTTTACTTTTTTATCACAAGCGATAAATCGCTTGAGAGAAGTAATATTATGTTAGGGAAATATTAAAGAACCTCTTTGTTTAAATAAAACCATACTTAATATATAATGAAATAATCTTCTTTGCTAAAAACCAAATATTATTTCCTCCAAATAATACTATTTGTCCTATCAAACGATATAGTTTAGAGAAACAACATTTTCATTCCAACAAAGTGATATTTTATATTAAATTTTTGTCATTAATATTAAACAAACAACAACAAGTAAGCGAGTAAATAAACATCTTTATTAAATTCAAAGACAATTTTTACTCTGTGTATCGTTGCTTCTTCATTTTCTACCTGGACAGCGCGCTACGTGAACGCAACGTTCGGCATTCCCGACTGACGTAATCAACAAGCTGTAGAGTTACTTTCATCTTGCGGCGATGTAGATGAGATATTGAACAGCGCGACGTCGTGAAATTAATTGCAGGTCAGCCCTAGCCTGAAGCGTTTCGCTATGTCGCCGGTCAACGTGATCGATCTGCTGGCGACGATGAGCTTCTATACGGAATTTTCGGCGGAGCCGAACCTCTATCTGGAACTGCTATCGATAGCGCGCGTTCTGCGGTTATTCAAGTTGACGAGACATTCGCCCGGACTTAAAATCCTCATTCACACTTTCAAGGCGTCTGCGAAAGAGCTGGCCCTGTTGGTCTTCTTCCTCATGCTGGGAATCGTGCTTTTCGCCAGTCTCATATTTTATGCGGAACGTCTGCAGGTACACATTCATGCTTCTGGAACAGAAATGCAGAACTGAATATTTTAAGAATACTATTCGCGCTCATCTAGTAAAATAATTCATATTTTCAGGTAAATGACAAGTTCAATACGCGTGCTCAGATTCTCTTCTTTGCGCGAAAGGTACATTTGTCGCGAATGAATAAATATGATGAGAAATGAATTCGACTGAAAGGAACTCGACTCTGTCCGATCGAATTGACCACAAGTTTAAGATGATGATTTCGAGGACCCTCGCAGTTTCTCAGCCCGTTGTCTTCCGGTATGGAGGCTCGCGTAACGCAACGGACACTTTTCAGGAGAATCCTGACAACGATTTTGACAGCATACCTCGAGGCCTCTTGTGGGCTTTGGTCACGATGACCACTGTAGGCTACGGCGATATGACACCGAAAACTTTCCCCGGCATGTTCATCGGCGGACTGTGCGCACTTGCCGGTGTCCTTACTATCGCTCTTCCGGTTCCGGTCATTGTCAGCAACTTCTCCATGTTCTACTCGCATACGCAGGTGCTCTCGCATTATATCCCACGCCCTCGCGCGCGTTTACTAATTTCCTCCGCGTATAGCCGTCCAATTGCAACATTGTCGTTTAATCGATGGCGCTAACTTTAAACAGCGGGCGCGCGCGAAAGTTAGGTGTAGATGCGCAACGTCACGAAAGGATTAATCGCGGATTTTCAGGCGCGCAGCAAACTACCGAAACAGAGGAGGAGAATTCTACCTGTTACACCGAGGCGACCTCATTGGAATCACACCGACAGCGGAGATCGTCGATTTCTAGCGAGCCTCGCCTCCAAGTCAATGCACTCGACCGGATTAAATAATATTGTGTAACGAACGATCGTCAGGAAATCCATGTATATACGTAATCAAATCAATTGCGCCTTTGAATACACGCAACGATAGATACTTTCCTCTGTCCCCAAAAAGAGACCTTGTATACACGTCTAAAATATAAAAAAGGGTTGACGTTATCGGTGTTATTGAGATTCGAAAGGAGGACGGGATCTCGGCAGCGATCGATTATCTTCGATAATCGCTCATCCATAAATCAGGCGCGCGAGCTACCTGTCCCGTTGATTTATTCATCGGACGACTAATTTGGCCCCTACAAACCCGGACGAGACTGGAGAGGCTAAGTTTGCGGTTTCCTACATCGAGCTCCGAAGAGAGCTCAGGTCGACGGTGGGGATAAGCGTCTCGCGATAGTCTCGCCGATGATCGGTATTATCTGCGGGTTATCGAACGGTAATACTCTTCGCCGTGAAGCGCGTCTAATGGGCGAGTGTCGAGGCCATTCTCGCGGCCGTAAATTCGGCGCACAGCTGTGGAGTAAAGCAGCTCTGCCGCTGCTGCCGCTACCGTTCGAGCGGCGGCAGGGCGCAAGCGTAAGCCATCGACCGGTGGAGAAATTCGCTCGGAGAGTAGCGACGACCTCGCCGAAGCGGCCTCGGGACATACCCTGCGAGCCCGCTTGCGAGACGTCGCGTCGCGTCCCGCACCCACGCACTCGCTTCTTCGACACTTTTTGAATTCGCCTCTATCTAGCGACTCCCACTCGCGAATGCTACCTTTGGCCGGCTAACGGGCGTCTGTCTAATCTCATTTCACCTGCCGATTGCGCAAAAATCGAGGAAAGAGGGACGTACGATGATAACGATGAGAGATTCGGAATTCAGCTCTCGACGGATCGCCGCTTTCCAGAGAGAATAGACACGGAATTTCCTCCGGAGAGCGAGACAACGAACGATCCCCGTTCGGTTCCCTGAACCCCTCTGGGGTTTCGGGACTTGATCGATTCGGGTGGACATCCGTCGCGAGGAATAATTCTCGTCTGGCGCATTTAAAATGCGACGCGGTAATTTGAATATTTCTGGCTACGTTCTCTGAAAGAAAGAGAGAGGGAGGGAAAGAGAGAGAGAGACTATGCATACGTCATTATCGTCGAATCGATCATCCCGCTTGGATATCTTTAACGAAGTTGTAACTCGAGACTTTGAAAGGTAATGCGATATTCGTGTCTGGGATGTATCGATTTACTTGCCGCGTGTGCACGTTTCATATTGTGATTTATAAACAACAATTGTAACGATAGAAACGTTCGGTGTAACCGTAATAATTCTCCCGTGACTGTCCGATTCGCAGGGTAATGACAATCACGGGAGATTCGAGGAAATAAATGAGGAGAGATTCGACATGTCAAATACTTTCCGCTATTATCCGGTAGATTGTACGGCGAGATGAAAAATGATGCGGCACGCGCGTAAGTCGATGAGATAGGTATACGCTGCCGTTTTTCTCGCTGCCAGAAATTGAAAAGCCTCGCGAAGATCGATCAGGGCGATTCTTACTATCGGGAATCAGCTCTCCCTTTAACACATTTATACACCAGACGAGGCCCGGAGACGGGAAAAGGGAGAGAGGGAGCCGGAAACTGAAGGGGAAAGTCGAAGAAGAAGGGAGAGAAGATAAAGAATCGTGTTTCACGAGCTATAAAAAGCGCCAGTATGCGACAGGGGTAATTCCGATTTCTCCCGCGGGTTTTGATTGTCTCGCGGTGAAAAATCGCAATCTCGTAAGGGACGTCACGTCGGATCGAAGGAAGAGCGCTGGAGAATCGCGCGGACGAAAAAAAAAGTATGTCCGACTCACGGTCTCTCGCCTTCGATTCGGAATCGCGTACGGGCTGCGAGAGAGAGTTTTTTAATCGCGCGATTCTAATCGCGCGGGCGAACGGCCTTGGGTAGAGACTCACCTCCAAAGACGGTTAATTTCAGACGGAAATCGATACGTTAAACGATAAGTGATACGGAGACAAGGAGGGTAATCGCGCGGGCTTCACGCGAGGTATAGCTCGCGCGGTATCCAATAATACCGATATCTCTTTAACATTTCACGGACAATCGACGCAGACGACGGGCATGAGAATGTCCGAGCAGACGGTGCAAAAAAGGCGTAAGCGTGTGCGACAAGGTGCACGAGACTCAGCGAGGGGTGTTCGATGAAGGTAAAGCCGGAGTCATCGCTTCGGCCGCCGGCAAGTCGGTCCAACTCGAGGGCCACTTGGTGGCCGTCGTCTCGTCACGGCACTTTGGAAACCCGCTCGAAGCGGATGCGCGTGCTCGCCCTTCGCACGCCGTCGCCGTCGCGACGCCACCCCACTCCGCCGACGCCTACGTCGCCGTCCTTCGTCGGAGATGTCGCTTTCGTTCGAGATCAGTTCCGTACGCGCACGAGTCGCAACCGAGCCCGGAGGAGTCCTCGTCATCCGCTGTCGGTCGGTCACGGAGACGACGCGAGCCGGCGACGACGATGAGTCGCCTATGGTGGTGTCGGGTGGCGCCGCGATGAAGGCTTGACCGCCGCCGATGATCCATCGCGAGCTCGGCGACGGGGAAAACGCCCTCTGCGACCACGGCGCGTTCCCTGCCTGACCTGACCTTTCGCCGAAGAGAGGGAGAGAGAGGGGAACAAAGAGAGCGAGAGAGAGAGAGAACGAGGACGAACGGACGTAGCACACGCAGGACGACACAGTGCCTATTGTGCGAGAGAGGCCATCCGTTAAATCGGTATACTTCGCGAGGCGCCATCGTCACAGCGACGACATGGAGAATGCGGGGAACCAGCGGAGCAGTGCCGTCGAGATGTCGCGGAAGATCGAGACATGAAGAGAGCGCGACCGAGGGTGGGTATCCTCCGAGGAGCTCGCCGTGGACTTGCGAGAGAGAGAGAGAGAGCGAGTCGACGAGGAGCGTCCGCGTGCTCGAGTGGAAACACGAGGTTGACACCTGTCCCTCGACGAGTGTCGTCCGCGGAACGTGAGCGATCCTCGGGTGCCGAGTCTTCGCGGCGATGATCCCCCTGGTCGAGGACGCTCGTACTTCGTTCTACTTTCGCTCCGTCCGGCTCCCGTCGCTGTTCGGCGCGTCGCTCGTGTTGCCACTACGCTCGGCCGGTTTCGCCGACCAATCGCTTCGCGTCCGACCTACGCTAATGTCCTAACGTTCCTTCGGTCCGACGCTCATTGATTTATCGGACTGGCCATTTCACCCCCGAACCATTCGCCGGCCGCCGCTCGATCGCTTCGCCCGTTTCGTGGGCTATTCATGAGCGTGCACCCGTTCGCATGTCGGCCATCCATGTGAAGGAAACGTCGCGGGTGGTAATGTCGACGAGCCGTACGGGGCGCTTATCGGCCCTTCGTGCACGCAGACTATCGATTCTCGCGCGACAAGGGGTCGACCGACGCCGCCTGACGCCGCCGCCGCCACCGCCGCCGTTACCGTCGATCTCTCTCCCACGCCAATTTGTAGCTCGTTCGCGGACAAAAGCCCTCGTTAGGCTCGCCTGTGTAAAAACGAGGACGCAGCAGCCGCGGTCGGTCGTCCGGAGATGCGCTCGTGCACGTGCGAAAATACGTGCGAATGACGTCACGGGAATGCGCACCGACCTCGAAGATTCGATCGTCGCCGCCGGACGTTTCCCGCCGCGGCGACCACCTCCGCCGCCGCCACTGCCGCCGGCGGCAGTGGCGGCGGCGGCGGTTCGCGATCAGGGTTGATTTAGAATCGCGTCTATCTAGGCGCGCTAATTCGAGGACTCAGGCACGTCGACCTCGCCCGCTGGCGCACGTCGGAGTGCCCGATGTCGCGCTCGCGACACCACGCACCCCGAGCGCGTGATTCGATGATTGAGAGACCGTCGGGAACAGTCGCGGGAGGGAGGGGGAGCTTGTCTTGTGGTCGCGCGCGCACACAGAGCGACACGCGGGATTGAAAAACCGATACACACACTCCGTGTCCCTTTGATTCACGCGCGCCGCCCTTCTCCACACACGCCGCACGCTCTTCCCACTTTTTTCTCTCTCTCTCTCTCTCTTCCGCTGTAGCATTTTCTTTTTTCACTTTTACCGCGGTAAAATATCACGCGGCTGCATTATAAGCGTTCGTAGTACGTACGTACGGTGTCTCACCTGTGCGCGCCGGATCCCCCTTTTAAACTTGACCGTCCCGCGTTTTATAACGAGAGGAGGAGTGTTGCGCGTGAATCGACGTGTCACGCTTCTAATCACTTCCGCCTGCATAATTCCAAGCGCCAAGTGCGCGGCTATCAATACTAATGGCCACGAAAAGGTTACTCGAGAGCGTTCCCGCTCGAGAGACGCGCTTACGCTCAGGTAATCCGATGAGAAACGGTGGCCGACGAGCGCGAAAGGTGCGAGATAACCGTGTAATGTAGCTGCAATGGACGGTTTTAGCAGCTTCCGCTTCTCTCTCTCCCTCTCTCTTGCGCGCGCGCACGAGCATTTAAATTCGTAATTCGCAGTTTAATCCCCGCGTGATCGCGCGTGCGGCGAAGTTACTAGTTTCGAACGGCAGATCGCGTGCAATCTCGACGTTCTCCCGTAACAACAACTTCAACGGTGCACACCTGGCACACCGAGCACTCCCTTCGTAACGTTGCAACTTTTAACCGTCGCGTCGCGTGGATGAAAGTCCAATGCGGTGTCCTCCGGCTCCTTCCTTCTCTCTATTTTTCTTCCTTTTTTCGCACGTAGACGCGAGATTCTAAAGAGCCGGAGCAATTACGGCGAGCCACGCGACGACGTCGCGGTGTTGGCGCGGCTTCCGATTAAATGTCAAGCGTCACAATTATCGCGGTAGTCGTAATGTTAAGTAGAGCAGCGGAGCGCCGCTCGTATTCCGAACTCGCGCGGTCTTAGAAATGTAACGAGCGGAATTCGCGGCGGCAACAACACCGTTACGATCCGTCGGCGGCGCCGAATGTAAATATCACGGATGAGATCACGAGGATGTCGATGTGGGCGACCGGCAGAACCGGGAGCTGTGATAATGTCCGGGGAAAATCATTTCGCGCCAAGCGCGCTTAATCCCCCTCGGGCGTTAATCGCGCACGCGAACGTGATTTTAATGCGTAATGGATAAGATTATGGGTGTCGCGCGCGCGCGCGCTCCAATTTCGCACGATTAAGCTGCACGCTCTCGCTGAAGTGGAGGGGGTGAGGGATGAGAGACTCTAACATAATATCAAGAAATCCCCCCGACAAAACAGACCAGTCTTAACTGGCAGTGAGGGGGGGGGGAGACGAGATTACCGAAAGCCCCGGAATTTGATTTCGGAAACCATTAGGGCCGCCCTGTGCGACATTTCTTTTTAATCGAATCTAATTAATTCGAAATCCACTTCCCTCAGCCCCGTCTAAATAATGAATGTTCACGGTGTTGAAAAGGGGGCGCAAAACTCCCATCGCGCGCGGAATCCGCGAGATCGCGCGATCTAGATGCGCCGATTGTTCGCAGATCACATGGGTTTCCTTGAGCCGGGGTCGGCGGTAGCAGAGCCGTGATCAAAATGAACTTGATAAACATGGACGCGGAGAACCGCGTGGTTCTGAACGTGGGCGGGATCCGGCACGAGACGTACAAGGCGACCCTGAAGAAGATCCCGGCGACGAGGCTCTCGAGGCTGACCGAGGCGCTCGCCAACTACGACCCGATCCTCAACGAGTACTTCTTCGACAGGCACCCGGGTGTCTTCGCCCAGGTACTCAACTACTATCGCACCGGCAAGCTGCACTATCCCACGGACGTCTGCGGCCCGCTCTTCGAGGAGGAGCTCGATTTCTGGGGGCTCGACTCTAATCAGGTCGAGCCTTGCTGTTGGATGACCTACACGCAGGTATATCGCGCGCGCGCGCGCCCACCAATCGTGCACGCGCCTAATTGCGTAACCGGAGCGTAAGGCGCGTAATCGCCGAGCTATCGCGCGAATATCGAGTGACGTGCACGAAGACCGAATTAGAATGGCGCGTTAACACACCGACCGTTCCGCCGATGCATCGCGCGAGATATCGCGAGATCCCGACGCGACAGCGGAATCTTGACGCGCGATCCTGCTATACGATCGATCGAGCTGATTGCGTCTCGCGGCCTGACGTTACATTTTGCAATTCGCTCGGCCATTATTCGACGGTTCCCGCGGGCGTTCCCGAGACAACTATCGGATTTCGCGCGTCCTCTCCGCTAGGAGGGAACACGAGTTCGCCGGCGATCACGAGGCCACGCGCCGCCACGTCGAATCGTGCTTTCGGTCGAATCCCATGAATTAACGATGTTTTCCCTCGACTTTAATATCCCCGTCCGTGGAGCTCACGCAGCGGCGGACGCACGTGCGCGATCGGACGGTCGATCGATCTCGTCACGTCGTCGCACGCGTTTCACCACCGTCTATTTTTGGACCGTATTTTCCCTCTCTCAATCTGTTATATTCACTTATAATATCCGTCGTTCCTCCTCAAGATGACGAGGGAGTTGTGATAATAGATCGGGTATTAGCGACGGAAGCAGCTCCCTTTGTCCGTCTCCTTTCTCATCTTGGAAAACGAATAATTCATCGCGAGTATTAAGTACGTGCAGTCCGGTAGCGCATACGATCTGCGAATAGTATCTGAGAAAAAAAAGAAAGAAAAACTAACCCGGACGTTGCGATGTAGGGTAGAGTCGAGTAAATGTACGCACGGCAAACGACGGACAAATCTGCCGGCAGGCTGGCCAAAGCCTGCTGAGAAGCGCGAGGCGGGTCCCATTCTCACATTCTCGTGAGGAGGGCGCACAACGGCCCCTGTGTACGCTTTATCACGCGCGCTTTATCTGTCCCCCAAGGCGAAGCACGAAAAAGCACATTCGAGAAAGAGTTTCGCAGGTACGAATAACAATCGTTGTTGCATCTCTCTCTCTCTCTCTTCCCATCCCCCCCTTCGACCCGACGCCCTTGCAGCATCGGGATACGCAGGAAACGCTGACGGTCCTCGACAGGTTGGACCTCGACACCGAGAAACCCACCGAGGAGGAACTGGCGAGGAAATTCGGCTTCGAGGAGGCGTACTACGAGGGAACCCTCACGTGGTGGCAGAAACTCAAGCCTCAGATGTGGTCGCTTTTCGATGAACCCTACTCCTCCGTCGCAGCTAAGGTACGACCCGTCGAGTGTCGAGCGTAGTATACCGATGTGAGCTTAATTCGCCACTTATACTACACTATATACTCGATCGCGAGTATACATTTAATCATTAGGTACCGGAAAAAGTTCGTGCGGATTCTTAGGTCGAAATCGAAACACTCGAAACTTTTTTACAAAGTAGTTTTATTTGACGAAGTAGCCACCATTGACTTTGACAACCCTTTTCCACGTCTGCACACCTTTTGGTGAGTTTGAACGCACATATCCACGTAGTTCATCATCTTCAATAACAGATGAACGTCCCGAATGCGGCTCAACGACTTCTCCAACGATCCATTACCTTCCTCAAACCATTTACATCATTTTTGCGCTGCTTTTTCGCTAACAGTACATCTTGATACCAACTTCATGCATTACACGTGCAAATTACCGACTGAAATCCGGCCTCGATTTATTGTTAAGGAGGAAACTTTTCCCGGTACCAGATATAATAATTCACTGTCAGTTGCGCTTTATTCCAGGACACTTTCGTCTTAGAATAAAGAGCAAAGGAAGACACATCGAAAATGTTTACAGTTCGATTCGTCGTCACCTGCCGACTCGAGGCAAAAACTAACGAGCGTATCGTTTGTTTGAATTACTGCTTACAGATAATCAGCATAGTCTCCGTTTTCTTCATCTGCGTTTCGATACTCTCGTTTTGCTTGAAAACCCATCCGGACATGCGAGTGCCGGTTATCGTAAATCGCTCGGTAAAGACTGACAACATGACGTCCTGGGTGCTGGACAAGACCCGTACCAACGCCCACGACGTCTTCTTCTACATCGAGTGCGTCTGCAACGCCTGGTTCACTTTGGAGTTCCTGATACGCATCACAGCGAGCCCGAATCGCTGCGTCTTCATCAAGAGCTCGGTGAACCTGATCGACATGGTCGCTACTTTGAGCTTCTATGTCGACCTGGCGTTGCAGCGGTTTGCCGCCCACCTCGAGAACGCCGACATCCTCGAATTTTTGAGTATCATACGCATAATGAGACTGTTCAAGCTGACCCGTCACTCCTCGGGCCTGAAGATCCTGATACAGACCTTTCGCGCCTCGGCCAAGGAGCTCACGTTGCTGGTGTTTTTCCTCGTTCTCGGCATCGTCATCTTCGCCAGTCTGGTTTACTACGCGGAACGCACCCAGTCCAATCCGGAAAACGACTTCAAGAGCATACCTCTTGGTCTGTGGTGGGCGCTGGTGACGATGACCACCGTCGGTTACGGAGACATGGTGCCGAAGACGTACATCGGAATGTTCGTCGGCGCGCTCTGCGCACTAGCCGGTGTCCTCACGATCGCCCTGCCGGTGCCCGTGATCGTTAGCAACTTTGCGATGTATTACAGTCACACGCAGGCGCGAGCCAAGCTACCGAAGAAGAGACGCCGCGTATTGCCGGTGGAACAGCCGCGTGTGAGGGCACCAGGCGCACCACCCGGAGTGCCCGGCGGCCCTGTCGGACCTCCCGGTTGCGGCCAGCAAATGTCGCACTTGCAGTCTGCAGGGGGCACGGTCACCACCGGGCCCCTCGGCCCGGGTCAGACGCCCGGCGTCGCGTGCCAAGGCCAAGGCCAGGGACCGCAGAACCGGAGGATGAACGCCATCAAGACGAATCATCCCAAGGATCCGTTCGCCACGAAAACAGGTAAGTCCAGGGAGCGTTGATTCTTCTTTCTCTCAACGGTCCGTCTAGCGGATCTCGGGTGGTTTTTTGCTTCACTCATTCATCCGCGGTACAGTGAGAGAGAAGCGCGGTTTACGGGGGAGGAAGATCTCGCGGGGGTCGCGCACAAACAACGGGGTCCCCTCCCTTCCCACTAACCGTAATTTCATTCGCGAACACTCTCGAATTCCATCCGTCCGCCGCTCCGGCGATCCCGCCGCTACCTAACGGCTCTTCCACTTACAGAAGGGAGAGAAAAAAATCCGTTTCTAGAACGAATGCGTCTAACTGAATTCGGGACACGTCGGTTATGGATTCGTCGTATTCGTTTGTGCAGCGGTTTGTACAGCGCGAGCCTTTCTTCGCGATATTCTCACGAAAGACCACATCACGCGATGCACTGTACTTGGACTTTCAGATCACTTATCTGGAAGTTGTTTAAGGCGAGGCTGATCGTACTCGATGATGTATTTGTAACGACGTTTAGGCGATATGGAGACCGCTTTATTGAAATGTAACCGCGAGCCGGAAAACGGAGGGCGGTTCGCACCGGGTGGGAATTAACATATTTCGTAATCCACAAAACTGCGATTTCAAAGGACTCATATATATATATATATATATATATTTCCGCTCGGTATAATCTCTCTCGTGTATACCGTCGAATTTAAATGTCGCGTGTTAACGTCCACGTCATCATGCACGAAACGTAAAATGAAACATTGCATCTGAATACGTATAACATTCGCATTTATAGCGCGAGCTCAATGCGCTCAATTGCCAATCGAGGCGTACGTAGAAATCACACGTAATACAATTCGAAACGATACAAACTGTAAGGCCTTTCGGACGTGTCTCTGAGGCAAATTACCGGCAACGCGCGAGGCAACATTCTCACTCACGAACAATGTGCAAATTGACGAAAAATCGGCGAGAATAATGAGAAAAAAACAAACAAATAAGAGAAATCAGGCTAGTTCGCAATTTTTTTCGCGAATCTCGTTCGTCCCGGCCAATCTCTAGTGTCTCTTTTTCTTTTTTTTCTCGTACGGTGGGTTGCAGAGGAGGACCGGAGGATCTCTGATCTACGCACCAACGGGACCAAGTCAGCCGGAGGTTTGAGTTAAGCCATGATGTAAAAAGATGAGGTGTAACGTTCCCGTGAATGCGCATTCGTCCAAAGTAATAGCGCGCTCCCCTCGACCAAACTGGGAGTTGGTCCCAAATGTCGAAAAGCAGTACGATTGTTAGCAGTAGTGCGAATTAGTGCGACAGATCACGATTAAAGTGGTCCGCTAGACTTGCCGGATCGGTTCTCGTTAATAATTCTCACTCGCTCTCGAGAGATCGCCCGTTCGTTTCCGCATCTTTCTTCGTTCGTTATTTCGCATTCCGATCGACGCCAATTCCCGCTTCGCTTCGCCGATCACGCGAAGTATCGTTACACTCGTCGTATTATTTTCATCCCGCATTCGTGAACATTTAATTTTTAATATTCTGATACTGTACGTGTGTATATAATTGATTTCCGCATTTGAGACCGATTCTCCATTGGCACGTTCCACTATGCTGCCGCCACTGTGTACGCGACGTTACAGCTTGTCTTCTCATGTCATGGATCGAGCTAGAACCAAGTTTATTCTCCACTACCGAGCAATGCCCCGAAAGTGGAGGGATTCGTCCGTTTGGAAACTGCCCAGCAATAGAGAATAATCTTGATTCCCGCTTAATTCTAGATTTCCAGAATATAATAAAGCGATACATACATATACCGTCGGGACGAAAAGAGTCTGAATGCGAGAGTCACTCACGGCGGCGGCCAATCACTTTTGCGTCTCTCTTTCTTTTCTCGTCTTTCGTTTCGTTACCCGGCGGGTCGTGGAGGCTGGGGGAATTTTTACTTACGGCTTTCCGTGCCGCCCGAGTCGCCCGGTGGAGGTTTTGGGTTAAACTGCAATCAAGATTATTCTCCACTGCCGTGGTTAACCCAAACTTCCGGCTGTCTTGGTCCCGCGGAAGCGTAGGTAAAAATTTCTCCGGCCTGGACTGCGGACTTCGGATAAACAATAGGTATATATACATATATAAATATATTGATACATATACGCATATATCGCATCGGGACGGAAAAAGAAGAAGAAGAAGAAAAAAAGAACGGAGAAGAAAAGAAAGAAGAAGTGAACGCGAGAGTCTCTCGGCGGTAGTGTTACCACGAGTCATCTATCGATCTAAATAAGCAAACTGCATTAGGAAGTCAAGGAGAACTTGTGTGTAGCGAGTAGGCAACTCGTTTCTTTAGAGTAAATTACCTCCTTCCTTCGCTTACGTGATTTGTATTTTTTAAGGATTCGCCAAGTAACGCACTTCTCGCGCGCATTGATGATAGCGTGTAAACGAATCGATGTATTCAACACTACGTATTTATCGATAATCGAAACATCCTTTAGTTCGAGGAATCTTAATCGGATCCTTTTTTTTTCCGTTTTCGCGTCTCGGTAATAAACGTCACGATACGATTTATAATTTACGCTCGCGACGGAACCTTTTACACACTCTTATCGTTTATCGTTCGCGACCTACTTTCATCTTGAATATTTATTACGATAATATAAAATCGTGATATCTCTCTCTCTCTCTCTGCGAGTGTTTCTCAGCTGAGCAAGTGCGACATCGCGATATAAGGCTAATTTCGGCCAAACATCACCCGCGATTACGAGATTACACCTCCGTGTCTTTCTCATCTCCCGTCAAGAGGAAGAACGTCCTCTTCGAAATATCCGTTCCGTCTGTTTCCCTTTACTTTTCGCGATTTAATATTCGTTCCCGTCGTTCCGAATATAGTCATTAATAGGCAGACGTAAAATGAAAATATCCCGCAAGAGTGCAGCCAAATATCTTATACCGTCCACACCAGACCACACCGTGTTTGTGACTCACGTAAACATCGTGTATCAACCGTGGCTTCTAAATTTAAGGTAGACGGTGGATCACCAAGACATATTGTGGCGAGGGATATGCGCGCACGGTAGAAAACGGGGACACAAACTTTTATCGTGGCACCTCGAGGCCGTACCGACATCGTTGTCGATATCATCGCTTGAGTCTATATACATGTTACCTCGATTAGAAAAAAAAAGGAGAGAAAAAGTACAGGGAAACGTCGACCGCGCTCCATCGCGGAAGAACACCTCGTCCCAATCTTCCAATCCCGCCGTCGTCTATATTATTAGGCCATTCCTCCCCCCTTCCCTCCCCGTACCATCCCCATCGTTGATAATGTTCCCGCGGCACTCGTGTGAAACGGCAAAAATTCCGAGAGAGGAAACCGACCACGTGGGGAATCGCATCGCAATTGCGTCGCACGCTCGTTTCGTGTGATATCAATAAACGCGCACCATACATTTTTTTTACACGGAAAAAAACATTCAGTTCGTGTGAACTAAATTTCGGTCACGACAACCGAAATTTTCTGTTATCTACGGACCAAATGAAAACTCGATTGTGGAAGCAAAAAAATTCCTATAGAATGTTTCCGCCGCTCGGACAATTGTACTCGGTTATCTTAACCGAGTTAATATTGTTACTCGGCGAAAATATTATTTTTCTCCTGGTGGGACTTGAAACTCTGAAATTTCTTGATTCCGAGACTATAGTCTTAGACCGCAGGACCACTAACGCTGTTGATATGTCGTATCCAACGGCAGTACACGTCGCATTAATACATATGAGGGGGAAAATTTCGGTTCCTCATACCGAAAGCATTTGTTGATGTAAACAGCTTTTCAGCTAGTGAAAAAAGGCTACATGTTATTATAGCCGAAACTCAATGAACTAAATATTTTCGATTGCCATAATCGAGTTAGTTTTTTTCCATGTAGTACGTACACCCTTGTTTTCGTAGATCTTCGCACGTATCTGCGGACATACCGTACGTGAGTACCGTGCATACGTAAGACGTCGATTCTGACCGCAGCGTCGCGTTCATTTTCGCCGCATCGCCGAGATTCGCGATCTCTGTCGTGTTTCCGCGAAAAAGGAAAAAGAAAAGGATAGATCGTCCAGTCGACATCTCGCACTTTTAGCGGCGAGTGCGGTGAGAATGCGGGCTCACCTTCTCGCGCATCGTGAATATCGCCGGGACCAATCCGTGAAATTCCTCTGCCCTCCCTCCCCGAAGAAAAAAAAAAAAAGGAAATATTCGTGAGATATCATTTGTAATATCAGCGGGAGAAACGACTCCATTTCCTTGTCCCTCTTTGCACGCGGAGTAACGCTCCTCCGAGGTACTCGGTTACAGTAACTCTGTAACAGTAGCTGAGCGCCCCTTTCTACGTCGTGTATCTCTGTTGTGCCTGAAGGGCAGGTGGGAGAAAGGAAGTGCAGAAAGGAACGATAAAAGCATATCATATAGGCGATCGATTGTGTGTACACATCGTTTTGCGCGAACAGTCGGTGAGCACCTCGCCGACAGCCGTTTCGCTTGTTTCCCCGACGAAATGAACCGTAACTTGCGCGCGTTCGTTTCCGTCGCTTTCGAAATGATTTCGGAAAGAGCGCTTCCGTGTCTCTCAATTTTTCGCGTCTTGATTTTCGCGAACTTAGCGACGACCAGATTCTACACTCTCCGAGCGTATCGTATTATTCGTTGTCCCCTCTCCGATCCGACGATTCCGACACGACGAAAAGTGAATCACGTTCGGTGCCGATAACTAACGAGACCATGAGAGAGATATTCTTCTCGAGCGCAAAGAAAAACTCCGAGACAATCGGATCGATACCAATATATAGCCCACGCGTGCAAATCTGTCTGCGCTTCAGAGAGACGCATTACGGTTTACTTGAGTAACACCAACGATACTCGCGACTCTTCTCTCCACGTAGAGTAATGTAAGCGTAGTGCTGGCATATACATATATATATACGTATTGTAACCTCGATAATTTATTATTACGCACAAAAGTAAAGTTGCTTATGTATGTATACGTGGCGCGTCTACTTTTGTAACTAAGTTTTATACGTGGCGCTACGAACACGTTTATACATACACCGAGTGCTTGGTCTTACCTCATGATTTATCGTATTCCCGCCTCCGTGTTCTAAAATCACTCCTTTCGTCGTCGTCTATTCCCGACTTGCCTCTCCCCCTCTCTCTCTCTCTCTCTCTCTCGATATTCATCCGCTTGGAACGCAGTTTCACGATGCGATTTAGCGATAAGATTATTTTTAAGTCCGGAAATTCGCGCGCGCCGATTTTTTCAGGCCGCGTCGTTTCACAATAAACGGATTACTGCCTGGTATACATATATATATATGTACATTTCGCGCGTAACTTTTAAGTATTTTCTAATAAGCGAAAAGTAAAAACCGTATGCTCCTTTGTCGATAGCGCGACGACCCTAAAGAGACGATTGACGTTTTCACATTAGTTTGGGTGAATGTAAGCCCACGCTTTTCTTGACCGATCCTCTGTTTTAATAATTTTCGACATTTTTCAATAACTAAACGGTACCCTCGCAATAAAAAGCAAGTGATCTCCGAATCTCAGCGGCGCAACTTGACCCGATATTTGATCTTTCGGTATTTTAATTCCTCTTCGTATTGATTCAGCCGTTTGATCGCTACGCACGCAAGCACGCACGCAAATAAGCACGCACGCACGCACGCACAGACGCATGCATGGACGCACGAGAAACCGCACCACCCCGCCGAATCTACCCCTCTCAACTTCCCCGCATGAAACGTAAAAGATCCGAAGGAACTTGTCGCTACTTCGAGCTCCGTTTCAGAGATACTCGCGCGTTACACTTTTCGCGAAATCGAATATACTTATGTCACCCCTTACGGTCGTCGCCTCTCTAACGACGCGTATGAATAATTTGGCGGTAGACGGCTGTTTTAACATTCGTCCTCATTCGCCGTGAGCTTTTCTATCACCCTGAGTTCGCCCGCTGCTCGCAATCGCCCCGATTCTTTGTGCCTTAAAGACTGGCTTTCATATCCAGGGCTGTGTACCGTGCGGCCGTGCGCGCGAAAGAGACTGTGTTACGTCTTTACCACTTTATTATTACAGACAGTAGACGGTCTATGCTGTGGTCGCGCGCTATTCACGCAGCTGCTATGTTGAACAACTCTGAAGAAGGTGCACGAAAAGATTAACGACTGCAGATTAATGACGCCTCTCTTTCTCTCTCACACCCCCCTCCCCCTTTCCCTCTTTCTCCCTCTTTCTGTCTCTTGGCACGATTCGCAGGGGAAAATTGAAAATATCAGCTGGACAATTTCGCGCGAATTTTGATCATCAGTGACACGGCTCTGAGAATGCTCTCGATTTTGGATCGATTCTCCTCTCCTTCGGTATCGCTCTTTTTTTTTATTTGAGAGAACGTTCGAACATCGTGCGAACTGGAAACGACGATTCCGAAAGTGCTTCCAGTTAGCGTCTCGTTACGCGTAGCCCTGCAAATGGAAACCAGTCGCGATTCGATCCTGACTAGACTGTACGACGTATATCGGCAATAATAAAAATAGATTCACGCGCGCGCGCGCGCGCACGCACACACACAGATATATATACACGCACGCACGCAGACACATACAAACACGCGCGTAAATGTATATTTCACCGGAATGCTCGCATGCACGTTGCAATATTCAACATTGCTGACTCGAAATAAGAAAGCAAGAAAGCGGCGCGAAACCTCAGATCGATGCCGGAGATTCCGAAAATTTTCCTCCCTATCTCCGCGCGCGAAACCTGAGCGCGCACTCATCCACCCTTGCAATTGACACGACCCCCCGAGATCCGGGCGCTGCGATACCAAGCGCCAAGTTCGTCGGCCTTTTCTCTCCTCGTGACGGACTCATCTCGAACGGTCGAGAGCCCTTCCCTGTATCCCGACGTAACGTTTCGCAAATTTCGCCGCGCGCATGCCGAAATTCGCGCAAAACTTGCCAGGAACGCGAGAGCAACCGCTTATCCGATTTACCCGAAACACCGGAGACAAGTCTTTGTCTTTTATCGAACAGAGCCCGGGGCTCGTAAGACGAAGCTCGAGCGACTTAACCCTTTCCCGCTGTTGAAAATTAAACCAATTTTCTGATCTTTCAGGGCAGTTAATTTGAGAAAACGGCAGGAAAATCGCCGCGATTCGAGGAAATAATTGTACAGTTTGAGACCAAGAAGCTGCGTGCACGCAGTTTGTCCTGTACAGTGGCACGAGACAACTACTAGAGAGATGTAAAGACGCGCTGCGTAGAGAGAGAGAGAGAGAGAGAGAGGGAGAAATGGACACCCACTTCGCTACATTCTGCTACACTTTCCGCGGGAAAGGGTTAAGGGCGGACTTAGAATAATAAGAAACGAATATTATTATCTTCGACGAGTGGTAACGCGCGTAGATTCATCGTCGACGATTGAGTCTGATCTGTTTTGTTTCTTGCTCTCCATCTCTTTTCCATAAGCAAATAGAAGTTCTTACAGAAGAAAGATAGAGAGCAAGAAACAAGACGCAAAGAGCACATTGTAAACCAAGCTTTAGAGTTGCAGCCGCTTCCCCACTATCGTGAATGACGTTAAAAAGAGAGAAGGAGAAGGAGAGAAGGAGGGAGCGAGAGAAGGAGAAAAAGGGGGAGGATAAAGGGAAGAAAAGGAGGAGTGAGAAAACAATGACAAACGAAAAGAGCGAATGGAAACAAAGAGAGGAGAAAGGGGAAGGAGAGAGATTATCGAAGAGATAAAAATGCATATCGGCAGCGGGTACAATGAGCACGCACGCACAACAGTTTTTAAGGAGAATAAGCGAGTATGTATATATGCGTGTGTGTATGTGTGTGTGTGTATGCGTGTGTATGCGTGCGCGCGCATGTGTGTGGTATGTACAGACCTACGTGTATGTGTGTGTGTGTGTGTGTGTTTACGTGCGAACCCGCACACATTGTTGCTCTAGTGCTGCACCCATCGATAGCGACGACTTGTGGTACTCTTTTCGTGACGGCCAGTAAACATTTAGCATAATTTACAGTAACGTACGTTTCGCCGTTTGCGGTCGCCACCACCATCACGTTCGCTCGTTGCTTTACGTTGACCGTAAAAATAAAAAAAAAAGAAACGAGGAAAAGTTAAGGGGGTTGCCAGATGTCTGGATATTTTTCGCGGGAGGGGGGGGGAGGGATTCGTCGCGACGCGATTTCCTCGCCCTCGCGTACCCTCCCCCTGCTCGGCTCTTTTATATCGAGTGCCCCAGTTTAAGCCTTGACGCAAGTAGGGCCATTATACGCCAACACCATGATCAGGCGAAATTAAGTAATGAATATTGATCTGAGCTATTTGCGCGCTCACTCCCGCTTTATAAAAGCGTCAGCCGTGTATTTTTACTCGCCGGTTAATTTAGTATATAACGCGAAACTTTTATTTCCTCCGTTTACCAATCCCGTTATTTGCCGGCACTATTATTAACGCGCGCGCTGCACGCATTGATGTTAGTTCGCGTAGCGGACCACCCCGAGGTTCTTCGCGCTTCGCATCACGATTTCGCGGGAATGTCCAGGAAGGACTTCGGCCGAAGGGGCCGAAGGACCTCGCCGAGCCGAGCCGAGATTTCGCGGATCTGGCAATCCCGCTTGACCCTCGGGGCTGCCTTCTCCAAACGCGTTTTCCGTTGGTTCTATTGTTGTCCACTTCCCGGATCGAGGGTGGAAGTCCAAGTTTTCTAATACCAGGTTTTCTAATATCGTGTAGCATCGGTTAATCGACAACGCGACGCGCGGGACGTGCGAGTACGAGTCGAGTCGGATCCGAATCGCTCGGCCGGGCGATCGATCACCTCGGGCACACAACTGTGCACGAGTCCCGAACAATAGCCGAAACTTCAAAGTATACGACGACAACTGTCCGCGTTATATTCGATAACCTCCTCGCGACACTCGTCCCCACGCTTGACTGTCCGGAAAAAGGAGGCTTTCGCGCGAGACTCTCGTCGCGTGTCTGCGTCCGAATGCCTGTGTACGCACGTACGCGTGTGTATGTGTGTATGTGTACGCGCGCCCGCGAATACTCGGTTTTCCAAACACTCGGAAAAACTCGTCGAAGACGATTGTTGGAAACAGTCGCGCCTCGGATTCGGATCGAGCCATGAGTCTCTCTCTCGAGCGGGTACTCGTACGTCTCTCCGGATTTAATATTACCTCATAGGCATCGTCATTTATTCGATACTCTCGCGTTGTCTGCGCGCACCACGTAATATCATCACGATTTGTACAGCGCGCTCCGCCGTTATATCGCTCGACGATTGTAAATACAACGACGAACGTCCGACGGTTTCTCTCGGGAACACATAGCTCAATCGGATGTGCGCGGGGATGCTGAGTACGACGGCAGGTCCGCCGAACGCAGCTTCGTCGGTCCTCCGTCGCGAGAAATTGCGGATTAATTAAAAATTAATTAAAAATCCCCCACACCTTGTGTACTCCGCGTACGATCGGTGTGACAAAAGTTGCGACACTTCCTTCGGTGAGTCTCGCATTTCGTATCCAATTGAAAAATGTATTTCTTGAGAACTACTAAAAAAAAAAAAACACGAATTCTCCTATTGGATACCCGAGAGCGTTGGGAAATTAATCGAGGAAAAGCGTTGCAACTTTTGTCACGCCGACTGCATTACGATGCGTCGAGGAGACTTTGAAAGAAAAAAATGACGAAGACGCGAGGCCGTGTAAATATTCTCTTGAGAGAATCGGTACGTTCCGCTTATTGCGCGTCCCGAACGATCACCGTCATTGAGATTACGTTCGCGCGAATTTCCCCCGGGCGGGGGGGGGGG